GCCCCCTCTGTGCGGATATCTAAATCCGCACATCGGGGGGCACCTGGGGGGCAGGGAGATGTTTGTGCACACGTGGGGAGGTCCCCACGTGTGCACAAAAATATTATCTGGCCTTCCAGGGAACAGTCAGGGTTGATTTCTTTGAGGATTGACTGATTTGTTCTTCTTGCAGTCCAAGGGACTCTCAAGAGTCTCCTCCAGCACCATAGTTCAAAAGAATCTATTCTTCGGCGCTCGGCCTTCCTTATAGTCCAACTCTCACAGCCATACATGACTACTGGGAATACCATTGCTTTGACCATGCGGACTTTTGTTGGCAGGGTGATGTCTCTACTTTTTATCATGCTGTTTAGGTTCGCCATCGCTTTCCTCCCAAGGAGCAGGCGTCTTTTAATTTCATGGCTGCAGTCACAGTCTGCGGTGATCTGGGATCCCAGGAACGTGAAGTCTGTCACTACTTCCACGACTTCCCCTTCTATTTGCCAAGGAGTGATGGGGCCGGATGCCATGATCTTAGTTTTTTTGATGTTGAGCTTCAAGCCCACTTTTGCGCTCTCCTCTTTTACTCTGAGCAAGAGGTTCTTTAGATCCTCTTCACTTTCAGCCATTAGAGTGGTATCATCTGCATATCTGAGGTTGTTGATCTTTTCCCCAGCAATCTTAATTCCCGCTTGTGATTCATCCAGGCCAGCATTTCGCATGATGTACTCTGCATATATATTAAATAAGCAAGGTGACAGTATACATCCTTGTCGTACTCCTTTTCCTATGCTGAACCAATCAGTTGTTCCGTATCCGGTTCTAACTGTCGCTTCTTGGCCCTTATACAGGTTTCTCAAGAGACATGTGAGGTGGTCTGGTACTCCCATCTCTTTAAGGACCTGCCATAGTTTGTTGTGATCCACACAGTCAAAGGCTTTAGCATAGTCAATGAAGCAGAAGTAGATATTTTTCTGGTACTCTCTTGCTTTCTCCATAATCCAGCGAATGTTGGCAATATGATCTCTCGTTCCTCTACCTCTTCGAAACCCAGCTTGTACTTCTGGTAGTTCTCTATCCACGTACTGTTGAAGCCTAGCTTGTAGGATCTTGAGCATGACCTTGCTAGCGTGTGATATGAGTGCAATTGTGCGATAGTTTGAACATTCCTTGGCATTGCCCTTCTTTGGGATTGGAATGTATACTGATCTTTTCCAATCCTGTGGCCACTGTTGCGTTTTCCAAATTTGCTGGCAAATGGAGTGCAGAACTTTAACAGCATCATCTTCTAAGACTTTGAATAGCTCAGCTGGGATACCATCACCTCCACTAGCTTTGTTGTTAGTAATGCTTTCTAAGGCCCATTTAACTTCACATTCCAGGATGTCTGGCTCGAGGTCAGTGATTATACCGTCGTGGTTGTCAAGGACATCGAGGTCTTTCTTGTATAGTTCTTCTGTGTATTCTTGCCATCTTTTCCTAATCTCTTCTGCTTCTGTTAGGTCCCTACCGTTTTTGTCCTTTATCATGGCCAGCTTTGCATGGAACGCTCCCTTGATTTCTCCAATTTTCTTGAAGAGATCTCTAGTCCTTCCCATTCTATTGTTTTCTTCTATTACTTTGCACTGTTCATTCAGGAAGGCCTCCTTATCTCTCCTTGCTGTTCTCTGGAAATCTGCATTCAGTTGGGTAAATCTTTCCTTTTCGCCTTTGCCTTTCGCTTTCCTTCTTTCCTCTGCTATTTGTAAAGCCTCATCAGAAAGCCACTTTGCTTTCTTGCATTTCTTTTTCTTTGGGATGGTGGTGATTGCTGCCTCCTGTACAATGTCACGAACCTCCGTCCATAGTTCTTCAGGCACTCTATCTATCAAATCCAGACCCTTGAATCTATTCTTCACCTCTACTGTATATTCATCAGGGATGCGATCTAGGTCAAACCTGAATGGCCTCGTGGTTTTCCCAATTTTCTTCAGTTTAAGTCTGAATTTTGCAATGAGTAGCTCATGATCTGAACCACAGTCAGCTCCAGGTCTTGTTTTTACTGACTGGATAGAGCTTCTCCATCTTTGACTGCAAATTATATAGTCAATCTGATTTCGGTGTTGCCCATCTGGTGATGTCCATGTGTAGAGTCGCCTCTTAGGTTGTTGGAAAAGGGTGTTCGCTATGACCAGTGTGTTCTCTTGACAAAACTCTGTTAACCTTTGCCCTGCTTCATTTTGCTTTCCAAGGCCAAACTTGTCTGTTATTCCGGTTACCTTTTGACTTCCTACTTTAGCATTCCAGTCCCCTATGATGATGAGGACATCATTTTTTGGTGTTAGTTCTAGGAGGTGTTGTAGGTCTTCATAGAACCGGTCCATTTCAGCCTCTTCTGCATCAGTGGTTGGGGCATAGACTTGGATTACTGTGATGTTGAATGGTTTGCCTTGGAATCGGACCGAAATCATTCTGTCATTTTTGAGATTGTATCCCAGTACTGACCCCTGCACTCTCTTGTTGACTATAAAGGCCACACCATTTTTTCTACGAGATTCCTGGCCACAGTAGTAGATATAATGGTCTTCTGAGTTAAATTCACCCATTCCTCACTTTAGTTCACTGATTCCTAGGCTATCGATGTTCAGTCTTGCCATCTCATTTTTGACCACGTCAAGCTTACCTTGATTCATAGATCTTACATTCCAGGTTCCTATGCAGTATTGTTCTTTGCAGCATCGGACTTTCCTTTCACCATCAGACACATCCACAACTGAGCGTCCTTTCGGCTTTGGCCCAGCCGCTTCACTCTTTCTGGGGTTACTTGTACTTGCCCTCTGCTCTTCCCCAGTAGCATATTGGCCACCTTCCGACCTGAGGGGCTCATCATCCGGCGTCATATCTTTTAGCCTTTTGTTACTGTCCATGGGGTTTTCTTGGCAAAGATACTGGAGTGGGTTGCCATTTCCTTCTCCAGGGGATCACACTTGGTCTGAGTTCTCTGCTCTGGCCTGTCTGTCTTGAGTGGCCCTCCACGGCATAGCCCACAGCCTCATCGAACCACGCAAGCCCCCTCGCCACGACAAAGCAGTGATCCATGACATACATATGGAGTAATATTGAACCAAGATTTTTATATGACTACCAAAGAAAAATATCAGAGCTCAATCTGAATGGTTTCTAAACACCACTCATCTCAAGTCTAACAGGCCAACATTGGCAATATAAGAAAGTCTACGTTTTGGACTTGCTCTCTGATTAAAACGTATTCGATAAATATGTATGTTCTATTAAGTATTTGACAGGGTGCTCCAAACTTTATCATTCTGATAATCAAGTGATAATGCTAAATTTTAAAATATTTTATTGAGAAAATGGAAATGGATCTGCAGAAAATTGGCTACTGCTCCAATTTCAGAATGACATTTTAAAAATGTTCAGTTACTACAGTGATTAACAATGCAGTCCATTGAAGTCAGTCAGCTTAGAAGGGTATAATTCTGTTTATGATTGCAGTGTGAATTGACATAGAGTTGGACCCAATTAACTTTTCTGCTACTGAGAAAGGAAGGACATATTCATTGTCAAGGTGGGCTGAGGTTGGGGCTCCCGCTCCCGACCTTCGATGGGGCACCATTGGTGCCAGTGCCGAAGGTTAGGAGTTTGGGAGTGCTCCTGGATCCCTCCTTAACAATGGAGGCCCAGGTGGCAGCCACCGCTAAGTCAGCCTTTTACCATCTTCAGCTGATTCGGCAGTTGGTTCCCTTCCTTGACTGCAATGACCTGGCTACAGTGATCCATGCGATGGTCACCTCGAAATTAGACTACTGTAACACTCTCTACATGGGGCTGCCCTTGTCGCAAATCTGGAAGCTGCAGCTAGTGCAGAATGCTGCAGCCAGGCTTGTGATGGGCCTCCGTAGATGGGAGCACATCCGGCTGGTGCTGAAGGTACTGTACTGGCTGCCAATAGCATACCAAATTCGCTTCAAAGTGCTGGTACTTACCTTTAAAGCCCTATATGGCCAGGATCCGACATACCTGAGGGACCATCTTTCCCCATACATACCCCAGAGAGCACTACGGTCGGGGTCACAACATTGGTTAATTATTCCAGGCCCTAAGGAGGCCAGGCTCACTGTTACTAGGGCCAGGGCCTTTTTGGTGGCAGATCCTACCTGGTGGAACAAGCTCCCGAAAGAGATCAGGGCCCTGCGGGACCTTGTACAGTTCCAGAGGGCCTGTAAGACTGAGCTCTTCCACCAGGCTTTCAACTAGTAGCCGCCCACCACCACCACCACCACCACCAATTATTATTACTAGCAACATCTATGGTAGAGGACTGGCCCTGTATTGAGATCGAGCCACAATATGTGGGAGGCCAGAATACCATTGAATCGGGATTTTAGAATTACATTCTATAACATGCCACCGTTAATTTACGGAAGGAACGACCACCATTGCGAGCACTAAATTGTTATTTGTTTACTGTATGATTGTTTAAATTTGGTTTTAAATGTTTTTAGGCTGACTCGGCACATGCTGCCAATAAATGTGAGCCGCCCTGAGCCCACTTGCGGGGAGGACAGGATACAAATGTAATTAATTAATTAATTAATTAAATAAATAAATACCACGGGTCCTGATCTGAATCAAGCTCCTCATGCACCTAGGAACTTAATTAACAGGGGGAAGCCTGCAACACACATCTGACTGAAAATCCTGGTAGTGGACCTGCACATGACCTGAGACATTCATAATGTGTAGTTAGGGTTGTATGGTCAGTAAGAAGTGTTGCATCCTTTTCTCATAGGCCTGGCATCTGGTCCCTTTAGGTCAAGGCCATTTACACTGATGAAATACGAATCTCACAGTAATTCTCTTTCCAGATGTTCAACAAAAGACCATTCCACCACCACCACCCCCTCTTGGCTTAAATCAATGTATCTGTTAATATTTTAGAAGCAAGATGGCAAGGCTGATCCAAAAAGATTATTCAACTCACCTAAGATAAGCTGTGTGACCACAAAGAACTTCTTTGAGCCTTCCTGCCCACAGCTAGTAGATTCCAAAGGAAGATGAACTTCATGGAAACAGAAAATGTGAAAAAAGGTATGGCAGATTTCTGAACAAGCCATCAAGTCACGCCTCTGTCCATCCTTTACCCTAAATGTTTGTCATACATAAGATACAATGAAGGCACCTTCAGGATTTCAAATGGCACAGAGCTCCTGACTTTTAATAGTTGTGGACGCTCCTACTGTCTGTGACATGGCAGCAAAATATGGTTGTACATGATTAATTATTTGAGCTTTCAAGGCAAACCATAGTTTCCACCATTACATCTAATCTACCAGACTGCGATTTAGACTTTAACTGCAAACCAGGATTCCAAACTCAATACAAATCCTAGGGCCAGTTCACACATTACAAAGTCCTCATGCTCTGCATGTGGCTGCCTTAAGATGTGCTCTGGGTGTTCTGTGCTTGGAACTTAATGCCTATGCTGTGACCTCCTCCTGGGCGGTGGACCTGGCATTGTCCATGATGGCGCTGGGACTCTCCCAATATGTAACGGCCCCTACACATCAGGCCGGGCACACACTGGATTTGATCTTCGCAGCGGGGGTTACAGTGGACCGGATTACTGCTACGGCAGTTCCATGGTTGGACCACCATGCCCTGAGGGTCCGAGTGAACTTGTCACCCCAACCCTGTTTGGGCGGCGAGTGCATTTTGGCTCACCTGTGGAGCCTAATGGACCCATTGTGGCTTCAGATGGCTCTCTGGGATCCATTGCCCCCTGGCGGCTCGTTAGATGAGCTAGTTGAGGACTGGCATAGTCGACTCTTGGCAGCCATCAACGAGATCACTCCCAGATGCCCTCTGCGCCCCCGCACAAGTCTAGCTCCTTTGTATACCCAGGAGCTGAGGCTGATGAAGCAAAGGCTCAGACAGCTAGAGAGACAGTGGTGGCGGGTTCGTAACGAAACATCAAGAGCATCCTATCGAACGTTTATGAAGTCGTATGAGATGGCAACCAAGGCTGCGAAGAAGGAGTTCTACGCAGCCACGATTGCGTCTGCAAGCTCGCACCTGGCACAATTGTATAGAATGATTCGGTCTCTAACCACCCTGCCTCAGAGCAGTCAAAATGTCAGGGAACTGGATATAGGCTGTGAGGCTTTTGCGAGCTACTTTGCAGATAAAGTCTTGCTGCTCCGCCGCAACCTCCCAGCCACGCTTGAGACAGTATGCGAACTCGACGCCCCATGCACATCTTCTGGTCCCATTCTGGATTGTTTCAGCCCTCTCGGCCTAGAGGAAGTTGACAGATTGATCTCAATGGTACGTCCAACCACATGCAGCCTTGATCCATGCCCCTCCTGGCTAATTAAAGCTGGTCGCGAGGGGTTGCGAGGCACCCTTAGGGACATTATCAACAGGTCCCTCTCTGAGGGCCTATTCCCGGGGGCTCTCAAGGAAGCGATGGTCCGCCCTCTCCTAAAAAAACCATCTTTGGACCCAGCCGAATTGGCCAACTATCGGCCGGTATCCAATTTGCCCTATCTGGGCAAATTAATAGAGAGGGCGGTGGCGATACAGTTGCAGCACTTTCTGGATGACACTTCCACGCTGGATCCCTTCCAGTCCGGCTTCCACCCTGGTCATGGGACGGAGACAGCACTGGTTGCCCTCACGGATGACCTCCAGAGGCATCTGGATCAGGGCGGGACGGCGGTGCTGCTGTTGTTGGATCTGTTGGCACCATTCGACATGGTCAATCATCAGCTGCTCACCCACCGCCTCGCCGACGTGGGGATTCAGAGGCTGGCCTTGCAATGGCTTTTCTCCTTTCTCCAAGGTCGGGGACAAAGGGTGGCACTTGGGAAGGAGATGTCCCAAAGGCACCCACTAGTTTGTGGAGTGCCCCAAGGGGCAGTTGCTCTCCCCAATGCTATTCAACATCTATATGCGCCCCCTTGCCCAGATTGCCCGGAGACAGGGGCTTGGGTGTCACCAATATGTGGATGACACCTAGCTCTATCTGTTGTTGGGCGGTCAGTCTGGCTCTACCCCGGATGATGTGGACCAGGCGTCGCAGGACGTGGCGGGATGGCTTAGGTTGAGTTGTCTGAAACTGAATCTGACAAAGACGGAGGTCCTTTGCCTGAATCGGAGTGGCTCAGGGTTAGGGGCCCCTCTTCCGGCCTTTGGTGTGGCGCCATTGGTGCCAGCGCCGAGGGTCAGGAGTTTGCGTGTGCTCCTGGATGCTTCCTTGACAATGGAGGCCCAGGTAGCAGCCACTGCCAAGGCAGCATTTTACCATCTTCAGCTGATTAGGCAGTTGGTCCCCTTCCTCAAACGCAATGATCTGGCTTCAGTGATCCAAGCTATGGTCACCTCAAGGTTAGACTACTGTAATGCTCTCTACATGGGGCTGCCCTTGGGGCCACTTCAGAAGCTGCAGCTGGTGCAAAACGCGGCAGCCAGGTTGTTGATGGGCCTCCCCAGGTGGGAGCACATCCAGCCTGTGCTGAAGTCATTGCACTGGGTCCCAATAGCGTTCCGGATTCACTTCAAGGTGCTGGTTTTGACCTTTAAAGCCCTAAATGGTCAGGGGCCTGCCTACCTGAGGGACTGCCTTTCCCTGTACATTCCCCCAAGTGCACTGCGGTCTGGAACACAACACCGCCTGGCCCCCCCGGGCCTAGGGACGCCAGGTTGGTGGTAACCAGGACCAGGGCATTCTCCCTGGTGGTGCCAACACTGTAGAACGAGCTCCCCAATGAGATTAGAGCTCTACGGGACCTCCAGCAGTTCCGTAGAGCCATGAAAACTGAGCTGTTGCACCAGGCATTCAAATAAGAACTGACTGCACCGGTTGGGTCGCACTAGCACTTTACCATAGGATGCCACCATATTTATTTAATGTTATTGTATTTATTGTATTTTATATTTTGTATTCGTTGCTTTAAATTGTATGTTGTTTTAACCTGTTGTGAGCCGCCCTGAGCCGCCTCGGCGGAAGGGCGGGGTAGAAATCCAATAAATAAATAAATAAGCATATGTTCGGGCTAGGGATGCCAGCCTCAGGTGAGACCTGGGGATCCCCTGGAATTACAGCTCATCTCCAGATTTCAGAGATCAGTTCCCCTGCAGAAAATGGATGTTTTGCAGAGTGGGCTCTGTGGCATTGTACCCCACTAAGGTCCCTGTCCTTCCCAGGCTCCATCCCCAAATCTCCATGAGTTTACCAACCTGGATTTAGCAATCCTACCCCCTCTATCACCCACCAGTGGCCAAGGGGGCCTGCCAACCAGGCACAATTTGGATCAGGACCACAGGACACAGGAAGTGTAGGCTTCCACCCTCCCACGTCCACTTTCCTGACCTGAACTGGCCTTGGGGAGCTGCTGAAACTTATGTGTAGTACATGTGTACCCCCCCCCCCCAATAAGGCAAGTAACAGCTCCATGCAGCCATTTCAGGTTGGGGAAAAGGTGTGGTTTAGAAGGCATATGCCTCTTCTCCCTGTCAGCTTCAGGCCTGATCGGAATAGCTCCAGGCGTGTAGAACTCCCAGATCACATCTGATTGATAGGACCCAGGCCAGCCACATGGACTTTATAATATGTGAACTGACCCCTAGTTTGTCAGTTTGACATTACATAATAGCAGTCAAAGCATAGCCTATCTTCATTCTTTATTTCCTGAGGACTGCTTCAATACAATAATGCTGATGTGTTGTTCACTGTTCCTTTTGTACAATCAGCACCAAGAATTGCAACTGCAGTTCCCATAAAAAGCCAGTAATGCTCATACACACGGCAAGATCCTCCTATATGTTTACTCTGAAGCAGGGGTCATTTCGTAGAAAAAGAGCTAGGGGGACTCATTAGCATAACTCATTAGCATATGCCACACCCCCTGACATCACCAGAAGTGTGTCCTCCCCACAGCCGGCAGCGACCTCCAGCGGGCACCAGCAGGGAGCTCCAGGCCCCGCCCTCCCGCACCTCACCCGGGGGGATGGCGTCCCCCCGCGTCCCCCCCCAAATGACCCCTGCTCTGAAGGTTCTGCTTATCCCTGCAATTTTATTTTGGTCCCTTTGTTTTATAGGCTACTTATCTGCTCCTTGTTCTCGCCATAGCCGGCTAGCCAATTCTTAACTATCAGTTTTCTTTGGGGATGGGGTATAAAGGACTTTATGTGCCGCTTTTCACTTTGCAGTCAAAGCCATTGCTCATTATTTCCAAATGATTGTACTAGCTTAAAAGTGCTATTGTGATAAATGTATTTTTTAAAGTTGATTTTTTTTCAGCAAAGTGAAAAATAGCATTGCTCCTGACCGCACCCTAAAGAACTGATAATTAATAGCTGAGTCATGAAGGTTGAGGCTGGCAGTGGGAGAGGAGAACAGGAAGCAATTAATTCACCATAGCAGCACAAAAAAAGAAAATGTATAGGGTTACCCTGAGAAACCTTATTAGTGGTTTGACTCCATACAAGGGACAGTCTAACATAGCAGTTGTGTTTTATTATTTATGCATTTTTTTACAATCCTTCCCCAACCCTTTCAAGTACTTTACAGTAATTAATTCTGAAAGTTAACTGAAAGCAACCAGCATTAAAACAAATAATGCTATATTTGAATTACACAACTGAACTCCATAAAAACTCTTTCGGGGGGGGGGGGAAGCATTCTGAAACATAATAGTTTTGCAAGTCTTCCTATAAAGCCTGGTAAAGACAGAACTTCTTGTACTGCCCTTGTAAGCTCATTCCAAAGAATGTGCACAGCAACAGAAAAGGCCTCATAACTGGCAGCAGCAGTGAGAGCCACCTGTAAAGAAGGCAGTGTGGTCAGAGACTATCAGGTCTCATATAGCCAGTGCATAGATTCAGCAAGGAAGGGCAGTTCTTTTTATGTTTAAAAAACCACCACAAATCAATTCTGGGGGAAAGATGGGAGGAGAACAAGGAAAACACTGGCATTTATTGGGTCACTGACAATATTTTCTGGATTCTCTGTGAAAACCAAGTAAATTAATCATGGCAGGTTCAGACTAAACAGCTGGTATACAAGTAACCTAGGATAATGCCAATGGGGAAAAATATACATTATATAAGTACATAATGAGACAAGTTGCATTTTAAAATCAAATTTGATAATAAATACATTTGTACACTTTTTTTCTTTGCATTTGTGGTAAGGTTCTATAATCACCTTTCCTTTCTAGACCGGAACTTTTCTACCATTCCTTTAAAATTCCAGACTTCTGTGATCTCAAACACCGAAAGGAAAGGTTTTAATTCTCAATCAAAGAGATTTCTGTTTATCCCGGTAAGTTTCTTTTCCTGAGATTCAGACACCGTTTCTAGAGAAAATTCTGTCACACCAGAAGCAACAATAGTCTTGTGGCACCTTGAAGCTTTTGTCACAAGTAATCCATTCGCCTTTAAGATGTCACAGGTCTCTTGGTTGTCTGTATGCCCTTGTTTGTATCATTTCGTAGAAAAAGAGGTGCAGGAGCTCATTAGCATAACTCATTAGCATAACTTATTTGCATATGCCACACCCACCCTGACATCGTCAGAAGTGTGTCAGAAGGCAACACCCACCACTCAGGCTCCACTGGACTGTTTTGGATTGCTAGCTATTGGGGGGGGGGAACATGCAGATCTGTCCTCGCAGAGGAGGGAGGGCTTGTACCTGAATAAAACTTGGTCTTAAAGGTGCCACTGGACTGTTTTGGACCGAGGGACCAGGGGGGGCCTCTGCAACTTACCTGGCTGCCTCTTGCTCTGACTGAGGGCTGCTGGGAGCAGGAGTGGGGCTTGTTGCATGTGCGCGCCCCCTGGGCTCTTTACTGCCGGAGCTCCGCTCCTGCAGGAAATGACCCCCCGATCTATGAGCTCTTTTTAACAAGGTTTTGAATGCACTGAATTGAAGAATCCAGCTGCAGCAAACCACATGGCATCGTGAGCTACACCGTTGTTCCGGCCAGTCCACAAAACAGGGCAGGGCAGGAGGCACAGCCCCATGCTGAGGAACACATCTTCTGGCTTGGAAGATTCCTGGAGACTTGAGGACTGAGCCTGTGGAAGGAGGAGTTTGGGGAAGCAGGAAGCTCAGTGGGGATATGATTCCATAGAGTCTATCCTCCAAAGCTACCATTTCCTCCAGTGGAACCAATCTCTGGTGCTTGGATATCAGTTGTAATTCTGGGAGATCTCCAGCCACCACCTGGAGGCTGGGCAACTCTGACATTTCCCCACATTTCATAGATGAAAACAGAGACTTGTAGTGTTCAGAACCTACTGATACATTACAGGATCCCCATGTGTCCCCCTGCCTGGTTCCTGTTGACCAAGCATGCACTTGGAACTCCATGCTGGGAACAACTCTCAGGTACATGGGGGTCCTATTCAGATTAGAACTACAAGACACAGGGAATTTGGAAAGAGAGCTTAAGCATTCCCCCTGTACTGTTTCCCTAACCAGAAATGGTCCCAGGAGCTGCAGGTTGACCTGCTGGGGGAACACATACCGATGCATTACAAATGTAGCAATAGGCTACATATAAATTTCCTCAATATTCTAGCGCTCCAGATTCTAAGGCTAGGCTTAGAAAGCTAGTGGACATTCTATCTTTTACAGCCAGTTTGGTGTAGTGGTTAGGAGCGCGGACTCTAATCTGGGAGAACCGGGTTTAATTCCCCACTCCTCCACATGCAGCTGCCGGTGTGACCTTGGATCAGTTACAAGTTCTTTCAGAGCTGTTCTCTCATGAGCAGTTCTCAAAAGCGCTCTCTCAGCCCCACCTACCTCACAGGGTGCCTGTTGTGGGGAGGGGAAGGAGATTGTAAACCTCTGTGAGACTCCTTCAGGTAGTGAAGGGCGGGGTATAAATCCAATCTCCTCCTCCTCCTCTTCTTCCACAGAAAACATTTTACATACCTGCTAAAGTGCATACATACCAAGGCTGCCCAGCAGAGAAAGAGTACTGGCAAATTTCTATACTCTCTGAACAAAGAAAAGGATTCTAGGTGCATAGAATTCCAGGGTTTGTTTACAACTTGAATGAGTTTCAACGGGTAAAACTGCAGCAATGATAGCAGCAGCAATGCGGCAAAACAATTTGGAGAACTGCTTCTAGCTGTACTCACAAACTAGCTGGAAAATGTCCACTCAACTGGTCACCTGTGGTGAGCAAGAATCCTCTCTAGGTGATCAGGCAAAGAAGCTGGTTGTTTGTTGTAAGGCCAAAAATTATTCAGAATGGAAATATGCTTTATATGTCATTCTGTTATCTGTTTCCCCAATTATTTATAAAATAATGCAATTGCCAGGGTTGAGATTCTGAGTGTGAGACTGCCACAGTAGGAGAGAGATTATTAAAGCATTTCCTTTCCTCCTTTTCCCTAATGCAAATAGCCTCTTCTAAACTTCTGTTACCTCCATCACTCTGAAACCCCAAAACATTTGCCAGTGAAAGTGAATGCAATTTGCTGTGGCAATTTTCAGCAACATATGGGGGAGAGATTTAATAGTGTCCCTCTTCCAGCCACATCAGTCTTGCCCTTTAAATCACAGCCCCAACAGCTAAATTATATTTTTAATAGTGATGAACTATGGCAGGCTAGTTTCAGGTGGGTAGCCGTGTTGGTCTTTTGAAACTTTTGAAAAGTGAAGACATTTCTCTGCCAAATCTTCTCAGATTATGATGGGTGCTCTTCCTTCTGACCAGTAGATGGCAGCAGACTTTCACAGAAGGAGTGAGTTCCGTCCTCAGAGGTGCTTTGGTTGAAGAAAGCCCATGCTGAGAAAAGACAGGTTTTCTTCCGTAGGAGCAGTTGTGCCCAAGGCACTGGTGACCCCTGGTTGTTTGGAAGTGCACATTTCAAAAAACATGGAAAATGTCCACTCTTTACTTAATATCATTTCTAGAGTCAGTGCATATTTGGAAAGCGATGGCGAAGCTAAACAGCATGATAAAAAATAGAGACATCACCCTGCCAACAAAAGTCCGCATGGTCAAAGCAATGGTATTCCCAGTAGTCATGTATGGCTGCGAGAGTTGGACTATAAGGAAGGCCAAGCGCCAAAGAATAGATTCTTTTGAACTATGGTGCTGGAGAAGACTCTTGAGAGTCCCTTGGACTGCAAGAAGAACAAAGTCAATCCTAAAAGAAATCAAGCCTGACTGTTCCCTGGAAGGCCAGATAATGAAACTGAAGCTCAAATACTTTGGCCATCAAATGAGAAGGGAGCACTCACTGGAGAAGACCCTGATGCTGGGAAAGATCGAAGATCAAAGAAGACGGGGACGGCAAAGGATGAGATGGTTAGACAGTGTCATCGACGCAACGAACATGAAATTGAGCCAACTTCAGAGGACAGCGGAAGACAGGAGGGCCTGGCGGGAGCTGGTCCATGGGGTCGCGAAGAGTCGGACTCGACTGTGCGACTGAACAACAACAAAGGGTGCCACAACAAAATTGCTGCCATACCAGGTGGAATCGATCACAAAATGTTTGAGCATTCATCTCCTCTCAGTAGCTTGGTTGTATGAGTCACCCTCAAGACAACTTGATTGACCTTCAACTTTTCGACATGAGACATGCCCCTACTTAAGCCCTGTTTGTTTGTCTGCAAGGTGGTGTCCTGGACAGTGAATTAGTTTTGTTTTCTTTCATTCTATAAATAGAAATCCCACCCAGAATAAAAAGAAAAGGCATTTTTGGAAGGGAGTTTGAGTCAGGGAGGAGTGAGGCACCTTGAAATAATATACTCTGCCCACACACTGAAATAATTTTGGCCAAATCAAGATGTAAAAGTGGGATTAGGGATGCAATGGATTTGAACTCCCCGAGCCGCTCTCTTGCTGCTGCACAGACACCGGAGAAATCTAATCCTCTGTTTTAGACCCATTTTGCCATGCAATTTGAGACTACCCATTAAAATGAGATTATTTTGATTTTGAAACAAGGAAAGAGCCTGCTTGGTGTACAGTGACAACTGACAAAAACCAGCCAAAAAATCCAGAGGTTTAAGTCATGGGAGGGGATGCATTGAGCCCACATTATAATGCCATTGTATGGATCTCTACCCACGGGATCATGCTCCTGTCATGCATATGCTGGATGGAGAAAAACAACCTGCCCTTGTTTTGAGTGCCTTTTCTAATAAGGCTGCCAATCGTTTACAGAATTTTCAGTTGATCAACCTAACACCTAACCAATTAATGAGTTTAACAACAGAAAAGGGTTCATTGGTTTTCAGAAAACTCTTATCGACCATTAGGAATCTCCAGTGTATTGACAGTATAGCCTCACAATATCACTCCACCTAATCGTGATAATGTATTGTGTTTTTCCTAGAATGGCAATCCAGGCCCGGGATGTTATAATGTCACACATCAGTCTACACTTCTCAACAGTGTCTCCCAGTCCCGGAAAGGAACCTGTTCTTTTCCTTCTTTGGTAAGGGAAATGGTAGGGTTGTAGTAAAATGGAATGGTTCAGGAGGACGCTAATATAAAGGGAACAGGGCTATAGCCAATTGCATTGTTCATTGTACAGTCAACTGCTAGTACTGCCTCAGCAAGTGCCAAAATATTTTGAGGGAGGTGGCTGGAAAGGATGATGTTTGGGGAGAATTATGATGTCACTTCCAAGTGATACTCTGAGAATTTCCCCAATCTCTGTGGTATTTACTATAAGAACATGAGGAAATTCCTAGAGCATCACTATGGAGGCCATTTGCTTGCCATTTCCCCCCCTGTTCCTCAGTTTCTCAAGAGCAGGGGATTGGAGTCAAGGGTGGGGGGGTTACCCACCACAGGTGAGGAAATGGCAAGCCTATTCTTACAGAATCAGTATATCTAATTCGCAACGTGGCCCTGTCTGTAGAGACTTAAATCTGGTGACTGGAGCCATGGACAGACAAGATAGATCTTTCTGCAAACCTGAAAAAAAGCACCATGTTTGCAGAAAAATCTGAAATTAAAAAAAAAAGACATTGAGGGTGTTAAAACCCCCACAAAATGATAGAAGTAGCATCTGTAGCTTTAAGAAGTAAATGCGCTCAGTGTCCATTGCTAGTCAAACATAATAATATTGCCAGCCTGCCAGACTTTGTTTTTATCAGTAAAAGGAAGGGGGAGGGCAGGGCCATTTCCAGGGTTGTTTTGGCCTTTAAGGGAGGACTCTGTGGGGCCAGGCCTAGTAGCAACCATCAGGTGACTTGATACCCCACAATATGCATGACTCACCGAGACTCAGGCTGGTCACTACTGTTCAACAGCAGCCACCCCACAAAAGCCAATGTTGTGTAGTGCTTAGAGTTTCAGACTAGGATAGGGATGAAGGTGCTGGAAAGTTCCATTAAGTCACAGCCAACTTGTGGATATCTCATAGGGTTTTCAAGGCAAGAGACATTCAGAAGTGGTTTGCTGTTGCCTGCCTCTGCATAGCGACCCTGGACTTCCTTAGTGGTTTCTGTTAAATAGTGAGTCCCATGGATGAGCAGGCTCAAGTCCAGTGATCAGCTCAACTTTATTTGTGAATTCAGCAACAGCAAGCCAAGACTCCTGAGCCTCAGCTCTGTTAAACAGCTGCAATTGCCACACCCAAACGCACCCCACTCCCAGTGATAGGCTGTTTACATAACATTACTACTAGATTGGTTACTTTCAGAATCCTGGTAGGCTATTGTTCTTGTGCTCCAAGCTCAGCTCGTTTCTGGGGCGATTCAACCAGGAATTATTCAATCCCAATACATAACACCCCTCTTCACTAAGTTACAAAGCACCTTAACAGACATAGTCTTCAAGGTATGCTGGCTTGTGACGTTCCCTCTGCGAATGCCGGGGCTCCTGCGGGAGTTGAACCAACTCTGGAGCCATGCTTGGTGAAGCAGGACCTGCACTGGAGTCCTGCGAGTCGGGAACAGAGTCCAGGAGGTCCGGAGCAGCCAGTGCAATACCTTCCTCTTCCCGGCCATCCGGCTGCACGCTGTTGTCTGGGGGATTGTTCTCGGTCTGCCGCTGCGGTGGTGGTGGTTCCAGGCTGTCATCCTCCTCCTCGGTGGAAGACAGGTCCGGCTCTGTGGGCTGTAGGTGGCAGCGGAGCTGGTCAATGTGTCTGCATAGTACCTGGCCCCCATCCGTTGATACCTCATAAGATAGGGGTCCAGTGACTTGCGTAACCCTTGCCAGGATCCATGTGGGGCCGCTGGAATAGTTCCACATGAAGACAGGGTCCCCCGGAAAGAACCTTCTGGGGGCCTCCTAGCTCACTGGAGTGTGGCGCAACTCTGGGGCTCGATCTGGGTGCAGGCGGTCCAGCCGTGTTGTGAGGTGGCGGCCCATTAAGAGTTCCACGGGGTTGCGACCGGTGGACGCACTTGGGGTCACTCGATGGCTGAACAAAAAGACCACCAGCAGTCGATTCCAGTCCCCATGGGTGAGTTGCTTTAGCGCGTCCTTGGTTGTCCTCACCATCCGCTTGGCTTGTCCGTTGATAGCCAGGTGGAACGGAGCAGTCCGCACGTGCCTGATGAGGTTCTAATCTAAGGACTCCTTGAGCTCTCCCAAGGTGAAGGCGTTATCAGTCATGACCGTGTCTGGTAGACCATGTGTACTAAAAATCTGTCTCAGGGCCCTGATGGTGCACAAGGTGGGGTCAAGGTGACTGGCACGACTTCCAGCCATTTGGTGTAGGAGTCCACCAGGAGGAAGAACTGCCCCTAGAATGGGCTCGCAAAGTCCAAATGCACCCGTGCCCATGGCGTGTGGGTAGACTCCCATTGGTGAATGGGAGCCCTCGGAGGTTCAGGCCGTGTCTTTTGGCAGGCCTGGCAACGCTGTACCCAGGCCTCGATCTTGCTGTCCACTCCTGGCCACCACACGTAGCTCCTGGCCAGAGCTTTCATCCTCATGATTCCTGCGTGGGTCTTGTAAAGGGCTTCGAAAACCCATTTATGCAATGGTGGGGGAATCACTACCTGGCTACCCCATAGGAGACACCCCTTGTGCACTGAAAGTTCATCCCAGCAGGATGCAAATGCTGTGAATTCTGGGCCCACCCAATTCATGGGCCATCCCCTCCCCACCCAGTCCAAAATGTGGGAGAGGACACAATCCCTGGTGGTGTGGTGGGAAATATCCACAGCGTGCAGAGGGTGGTCCGGGGTGGTCCTCCATCATCAGGATTTGGTGTGCAGGGGCCGGATCTGGGTCAACGGAGCTGAACGGGAGGTGGCTAAGAGCGTCTGCGTGTCCCGTGGACTTCCCTGGCCGGTATTGCAGGGCGTATTGGTAACCCCACAGAAAAATGGACCAGCTCAGGACCCTGGGTGACATCATCTGCAACATTTGGCGGTCAGGTGAGGAGACCGAGCAGGGGCTTGTGATCAGTTGTGATGGTAAAGGGGCGGCTATATAGGTAATCGTGGAACTTTTTTACGCCACAATTGCAAGGGCCTCTTTGTCGATCTGGGAGTAGTTCCGCTTGGCTGACTACAGGGTCTGGGAGTAGTAAGCCACCGGCACCTCCCTCCCATCCGGCAACCACTGGCCTAGGACTGCACCAATGCCATAAGGAGAAGCATCACACGCCAAGATGAATGGCAGTGTCTTGTTGAAATGGGCGAGGATGTTGTTCAATGCGAGTAGCTCCTTCACGGTGCGAAAAGTGGTGGCCTGCTGCTGGCCCTGGAACTATGGGGTCATCTTGTTGAGCAGGCGATGGAGGGGCTCTGCGAGTGCAGCTTTATGGGGCAGAAAGAAGTGGTAAAAGTAAAGAAACCCCAGAAAAGCCTGCAACTCGGCCTTGGAAGTGGGAGCGGGTGCATTCATGATGGCGCGAATCTTGTTGGGGGGCGGGTGGATGCCATCTGCATCCATGGAGAACCCCAGGAACTCTACATGGGGGACTCCCAGGAGGCATTTCTCTCACTTCACCTTTAGCCCGGCGGAGTCGAATCACTGCAGAATGTTACGTAGGCGGGTGGCGAAATCCTCTTTTGTGGGGGTGGCGATTAATACATCATTGAAGAAGGGTTGGACCCCAGGGATGCCTTTCAAAAGAGAGTCTATCAAGTTCTGGAAGATTCCCGGGGCCATGCGTACCCCAAACTGTAACCGCTTGACTCTGAAAGCACCCCAGTACGTGACGATGGTCTGTGCCTCAGCAGACAGCTTGTCCACTGGGAGCTGTTGGTATGCTTGGGCCAAGTCCAATTTACCAAAGACCTTGGCCCCTGCCAATGTCGCTAGGACATGGCTGACCACAGGCACTCAGTATGCGTGGTCACTCAGTGCCTTGTTGATTGTACGTTTGTAGTCCACGCAGATGCGGACATCCCCATTTGACTTAATTGGGGTTACGATGAGGGTCTCCCAGGTGGCATGGGAAACTGGCTCTAAAACTCCTTGTGCCACCAAAACAGTCCAGTTCCACCTCAATTTTGGGCTTGAGCACGAACGGAACTCTCTGGGCCTTGAGGTGGATGGGCCGCACCTCGGGGTTGAGTTTGTGCGATACCAGGGGACCTGTGTACTGGCTGAGTGTCCCATCAAAGATGGCAGGGAACTCGCAGTTCTGGGCTCAATGACAGCGGGCATGCATGGAGAGTCTCCACTTGCTTACGCTGTTCCTACAGCCTTTTAGGACTTTTACAATCAATCCAATATAGGTGCTCTCCCATACAGAGAGCCCTAGCAGGGAGCTTGTCTTGAAACTGAGAGGCAGCATTCTCGAATTTTTGGGGAAATGCTCCGAAGCGGGAGGCTATCAGGACGCCCAATGAGATTCGCCGAGTGCAAGCTGAACCCACAGGAGACTAAAGAGTCTAAGAATTGCAATGCCGTTACAAAGAACAACAAAGTTAAGTAGCAAAATCTTCATCATTCTCTCTTGAAGGGGAGGAACAAACTAAGGGGGCTTCTAAAATAGGGAGTTGCCCCGGGTTGCTTTGATAAAGGAGCAAGTGATGGGTAATATCCCTTTAAGGCGGCCATGAAGGAATGCTCAATTACACCTTGTTAAAAAAAAACACCAGTGATTAAGAGCAACTAGAGGGGTAGTTAAAAGCCAGCGGGACGCATTCTAACCTATAGGTCTGTTTTATTTTGTTTATTTTTCCTCTTGCTTGGAGAGCCTGACTGGGATTGGTGATGCTGGGATTTCCTTTGTCATCGGGACCTGCGGTGGTGGAGATGAGGCTGTTCAAAATGGCTAGCGAGGAGAGGTGGCGTGGTGCAATCGGAGTGAGAGAAGGACACGGCGTGATGTGAGAGGAGAACGAACGTAGCACGCCCTGGTTGGAAAAGAGAGAAATGCGAGAGGGACGTGACAGCTTAACACCTTAGAAGTCAGAAAGGAAAGGCTCTCCAATACAGTGTTTAAAGGCACAGCAAAACTGTGGAAAGACGGGATCCTAGGGACTGAAGAAAAGAAGGAGGAGTGAAGAAATAATG